CCGGGGCACTTCATTTAAAAAACAAAGCCTCCAAAAACTGCAAGGCTGTGTCCAATGAGAGAGCAAGTAGGAGTAAAAATCTCTCTCTCTCTCTCTCTCTCTCTCTCTCTCTCTCTCTTCCGCTTTTATGCTTTTTCGCGACAACTCAGACTGAGTCGATAAAGACAGGGTTGGGGGCCTTTTTTTGGGAGAACAGCTTTGATATAGGAGGTTCCACGCCAAGGTTTGACCGGCAGTTGCCGGTTCCCTTAAGGTATTACAAATTGAAGGAAAAAAAGACAAAAGAAAACCAAAAAATTTGGCTCCTGATCCGGACCGAACTCACATGCGACGAACCGTGATTCATTCTCACGGAATTGAAATCACATGAGCGGATCTGTAATTCGCATAGTATATGACCCAGGCAGCTCATATTAGAACACTGGGAAAACATTTGATTACTGTCCGAATAAATAAACATATCGAGACTCTATGACTAACATCATTACTTTTGTTTTTTGTTTTTTTTTGGTAACCGAGGACATCATTACTTTTGTTTGTCAGCGTAATAATTAACAACACGTTTATTGAGTTAAAGACATCCATAGATAAGAGAAATAGAGATAGAGTCGTATATAGAGTTTACGACTCGGGTTGTATGGGGTGAGTTTATGAAGCACGAGGAGTAATTTCCCTGTTAAGTCAGGGCATGGCGACATGCTCTTGCCCACCTAGGTGCAATTAAGGGACGATACCTAAACGACATTGGCTAAAATACGTCAATTAGTAATCTACCAAGTCAATCCCGAAATTATTGGCTTTTCTTGACATGAAAAGAGAAACACTCATTAGAGATAGATAGTAATAATAACAAATATATTAAAAACAACATATCAATAGAATGACACAAAAAGATGAGCGCAAAAATCTTAAGCATTGACTAATTAATTAAGGGTTGGATGATTTGCAGAACAATGCATGTGAGGTAATGTGTTGGTTACTCATTGATTTAATAATATGAGTGCAAACATAAAGAAAAGATATGCTGACAGAATTTTTATTAGGTCTATTGCCAATATAAATAATTTACACTTCATTGAATAGTCAATGTATTGATATTTCTATTACATGGCTATCTCGAAGCACACGTCACATGTTCATTGGTAAATGTGAAAAAAAAAAATTTACATTGGTATTGGATATAATAATAATCCTTAGTAAATTAGATCCATGCTCATTCAACATTGAAGTAGAAAATAATTAGTCGAAATGAAGAATGTCCTGAATTCAGAAGGTTTGAGATATAAGCTTCATCTTTAGCAAGAAAAGGAACTCTTGTGTATGATATATCATTCCATGCATGAAGTAGAGTGTGGTAAAACTTAATATGGCTGCGCAATGTACTTGATTTTAAAAACCAGAGGAAATGCAAAATCATGTAGTAAACGTACTATTCAAACATATTGTTTCGAGAGGAGGTGTCTGTATTTATTTTATCTAAAAGAATATTCGTCTTAACTACTTCTAGATATGTGAAGAGGAGTGTATATTCAAATGTATTATTTCGAAGAGAGGTGTCTATTCATGCAAATGTTAAGAACAAGCTATTTAAAAAATGCATACCATCTAAACATTTTTGGAGAAAAATATTCTCTCATGCAATAATAAAGTAACTAATACCCCGATTGTCGGAGCTATATGTCTTAGATCGGAGGAATAAGAAATTTGAGAGTAGCATAACAAATATAGTGTTTCCAAAACAAAATAATCTAAAAAACCATATGTCTGTTTAAAGTATAAACACATCATTCTGAATAGAGGTGTTACTTCAGTGAATGAACTATATAAAATAAGCAATTATTTCTATTTCAACTTTCAACCCAACATTAAGTGCTTGGGTATTTTTCTCTCTATGATCGGAGGAACCCTAGAAATCATGACAAAGAGACTACTAAAAGAAAGTAAGATAAAGTACGATTAGAAAAAAGAGAGGAGATGTATGTTTTAATGTACTGTCTCGAAGAGAAGCATATGTTCGTACAAATGTGCATTCTATGTTGAAATAAGTAAAACTATATGTTGAAGAGAAGATTTCATCTATATATATGAAAGATGTAAAAAGATCAATTGTTAAGGATTTGGCAAATAAATTCATCTTCTATTATTCCATATTTTATAAAAAAAAATGTTTATTTTTCATTGTAAAAAATGGGTGATCGTTGGTAAATAATAATGGTGATTCGAAACTGACTGACCAAGTTTAAGAAGAATATAAAAAAATATGAAGGTAGAAAAAGGAAAAATTGAATTGGACACTTCAGCAATGGTTCTCTTCTTTTCTCTCTCGTCTAGTCACACTTTCTTGCTCTCTAGCTTTTCCTTTGCGCGTGCTTTAATCTTTTTCTTTTTTTCTGCGCAAGGCAAAAGTTTACCTTTGCTCTTTCCCAAAGGACAGATCATCCAAGCAAAACGAGTCAGAAATGTTCAATAAGGATTACCAATTTTCAAAGTGAGAATAAAATTCACACCGAAAAATTAAAAGGATAAGACTACTTGAGAGTACGAAATTATGAAAAAACCGGCTGGCATTTTGTCACATTAGAGGAAGATTAATTAATTAACAGGTAAAATCCAGCTCTGTTTTCTCTTCTTCCCCAGTGCACTTCCCTCGAAGTCGACAATAGAAAAATCAAATCCCTCCTAACACTTTTGACTTTTAACTATTCAATGTTTTCGGGATTTAGTTCCTCTTCTCCACCATGTTTTAGCTACCAGAACCATATAAACGAATCCATTTTACTGCATTCTGTTCACGTCCTGGCAATTGTATAAAAGAGACAAACCAAGACAAACCTTCCTTGCTTGGCATTGCCTTAAACGACATGTGAAAAATAACTCGTCCAACATTTAATTGTTAGAAACTGTCTCCCAAAAGAAACTTTAGGAGCACGTTGAAGAGCTAAGAATTTTTAATGCAGGGATTCGTTCTTTTTGGGAGGCTTAAACCTGGACATGTGAGGGCACGTGATTATTAGGGTTGCAGTCGCAAAATGACTAGGAGTATTAGGATTCTGTACATGCATATTGGCCTTTTTTTGTTTTCCTTGTGTCCACTTCCTGTGTTCTAGGACAATTGAAGACTAATCATTAATCGTTATTTGTGGCACACTTCTTCTAATACCCGCCACATTACAGAGATACGTGGAGGAAGAAGAGAGAGATGAACTAACCCCAAAATTATTGCGAAAGGTTATAATGAGATAGGCTTGTTTAGTTTTGATTCTTTGCATATGTACAATTTTCGACAAAATATTTAGTGAGTATGTTATAGTTTAATGCAAAATGTCTTCCCTAAAACAGTCAGTACTGTTTAAAAGTAGCCGCTAAAGTTTCAAAGCTTTAGAAAATATCATTCTTGAAATTGTTCTCCATAATGTCGTGCCATGCACAGGCTATTGGCCTTATGTAAGTTGATCGAAAAGTTTTCTCATATGCACCAAAAAATAAGGATAAAGACATTGGGAGTCCTTACTGCAAAATGTTTTGTTAGGCCCTTCAACTATTGTCAGTATAGCAATCATCGATTGAACAAACCGGGAGCTGCGACTGACGACTGACAACGAAGTAGTATGGTGCTACTGGGGGATCACCTTGATAGGGCGGGATTGAGGCATGGAGGAGGAGAAAGAGGATGAGTTCAGAGAGTGAGGCCAGAGCTCGCGGAGGCATGGCTTATCTCCATGGACAGTGGACACCGTCGACGGTGCATTTCTTTGGGAGGAGCAGTAACCAGAGCCGGCCAATGGGTCCGCACAGTTTCTTCTCTTTTTTGCCCTTATCCCTCATTCTCTCGCTTTCATGGGGGGAAATCCAATTTTCCCAGGAATTTTGGTAATTAGTTTTTTTTCGGTCGAAGGAAAATTTGGTAATGTTTAGAACGCCTGGTGATTTGTTGGGATTATCTAGGGGTGATTGGTTCAGTCTTTGTTCTCCACACCTGAAGACGCTATATCATAAAAAGTTGTTTTCAAAATTTTAATCCGAAAAAGAAAAAGAAAAAAAAGTAAACGTCTCCATCTAAAAGTAGTTTGTTGCAATCTGGATTGCAATTGTTTTGCCTAAAGACGAATTCATTCTTCAATAACCAAATTAATTCACAAAAATCATGAGATTCATTTGGGTCCTTTTAGTTTTGTCTATAACTATACGATTGCATTCTTCGCTCACCTCTGTCCTCTCCCACTCGGTCAGGAAGCTTTTGGAGAAGTGGGAGATTGTTCTCTCCGATCTTCTTTCACAGGCTGGCCATGAACACATGCCTCTCCGCGTCCCTAAGCTTTGCCATGTGCACCTCCTTACAATCCAGCAAAGCCGCCCTTTTCAATCTTCTTCAACATGCAAGTGGAAGTGATGAAGGCCGCTGCCCTCGCCTCAGATTTGGGTGAGGGCCGCCCCCTTGCTGAAGATTTGAACTAGGGCCGCAGCCCTTGCCACCCGACTGCACTATCCTTTCCCTTCTTCTCTTGATTTTTCACATTTTTACATTTTTTAATTTTAAACTATAATTGCTCCATAAAATGCAGCATCAGCATCTCCGTTTATAATTTTAATTGAAGAATCAACTCGAACAAAAAGTATGCAGTTTATAAACCCAATTGAACAAAAAAAAAATTAAGAGACTTGATTGAATTATTTGCAATAGTTGAAGGACCGGTGCCTTTATCCCAAACAAAATAAAAGAACTTCTGATTGGCCCTTTTGGTCTCCCAGGAGTCTTTAAAAATATCCATACTTTTTAAAAAGTCCTTGCTAAAGCAGAAAGTTAGGTGGGAAATAGCCAATTATGTTTGACTATAAAGTGAGCATGCCAACGTCGCCAAGTATTTTAGGCATTGGCACTCACTTGCCTAGTTCATATCCAAAACCTCAGCTCATTTCTCATCTGGGCCTCGCCACAACCCCCTTTTTTTTCGCTTTATTGGGTGAGAGATAGCTTGAGAGATAGCTGGAAGCTCCCCCTTTTTCTTCGCTTTATGGGTGAGAGATATCTGGAAGGAATAAGCTTCCAGCTATGGCAAACTCGGAGGCCGGAACGAATAGTGATGTTGCACGTCAATCAGGAGGTGAGTATCAAGTGTTTTTGAGTTTCAGAGGACCTGACACTCGAAATGAATTTACAGACTTCCTCTATCACGGCTTGGAAGATGTCGGGGTCCGCGTATTCAGGGACGAAGATGAACTCCGTGTCGGCGAAGTGATTGGTGAAAACATTCTACGTGCTATCGACAACTCCATCATCTACATACCCATCTTCTCTCCGACTTATGCTTCCAGTAAATGGTGCCTCCGTGAGCTTGTGCACATAAGACACAACTTGTCCCGGCCGGAGGGTCAAAAAAGCATCTTTCCCATTTTTTTTCACGTGGAACCTGATGATATTAAGCTTAAGACTCAACGGTACATTGAGGACTTTTTGAGGCATGAGAAGGAGTCTCCAAAGGAAGTCGAGGCGTGGAGAGAGGCTCTTGTGAAGGTCGACGAAATCAAGGGATGGAAGGTGAAAAAGGACCAGAGGTAAAACTTTTTAAAGATCCCTACCTATTTCTTCTTTTTTTCTGTTTTAAGGAATAAAACGTTGCCCTTGCAAATGATTTCTTTTTTTTTTTTATCTTAACGGAAAATATTTGGAGCTCTTTAAGATCCCTATCAAAACCAATTTCAGATTTTGCACCCATTTTCATCTAGCACTATCACTAATTTTCGCCCCAAATGAATCTATTTACCCGCGTCATGAGAATATCAATTTTCATGTTCCATTTACAGGGAAAAGATATAAAAAAATTAGGGATCGCCTCTATGCGAACTTTATATTACAAATTTCTGAGTGCTCCTTAAGAAACACCAATCACGCAAGGAAACTAAGATTCGGTGAGGTAAAATCATGTGTAAATATTCAGTACAAGCGAGAGCTTTCTAAGAACACGTAAAGAATGACGGGGGCCTCGAGCTCTCCAGAGCTCGCTGGAGGTCCAAATCGAGGCTGCGCAACCTCGATCTGGACTGGGCCGGAGGCAATGATCGTTGCCAACCTCTGATCTGAGGTAGGCGATGGTGCGAGACCTCTGAGTGGGGTGGCCGCGCGCTCAGGGTGGTCGAGAGAGAGAGAGAGAGAGAGAGAGAGAGAGAGAGAGAGAGAGAGAGAGAGAGAGAGAGAGAGAGAGAGAGAGAGGACACACGGTGTAGGGGGTGCCAGAACTTCGCGCCGGTACGAGCATTGGATAAAAAGACTGGCCAAGAACAGGCAGTGGCTAAAGGTCGGTGGTAACAGGTCGAGGAGAGTGGTGAGGGTAATTTTGATAAATAAAAAATGGCAACTGGATTAATATTAGGGAGACAGATGCAATTTGTAAATTATGAATTGTAGAGAAGAAAGTTGATAAGTGGGGGAAATGGTTTTGCAATTTCTCCTTATTATTTTTCTTTTCACCTTTCTTCAGGGTTGTCTTAGGCAAATGAAAACCCTTGATATAGTAATCACCCCTCTAATCTAATCGAATCCAAGTAATAACGGTGGAAATGGCTCATTAGCCTATCATCATTCATCAATAAAAACACATAATTTAGCTTTCAATTGATAAATTTAAATGCAATATATGGTGAATTAACACCTAGTATGCATTATTACAGCATTGTGGGCGGCTCATTACCTTCACCAGTGTAAATGAGCCTTTTTTTTTTTTTCACAATTTGGAGTTGGCAATCTCTTATGCTTTTGGGTTATGTAGTCAGATGCGACCAACATGTCGAATGATAATGTTGGATTTTTAACCAAAAGATGGAGTTTTTGGAAAGCAAACTGATGACATGGCCTCTGCATTTTGTTTTTATATTGATAAGGAAGTCCACCATAGATAGGTAAATTCCGAAACAATGACTCATCTTACTAACTCTATGAACCAGGAAAGGTGTAAGCCAAAGTCTAGTTAAGTGGCCCAAACATAGGAATGCATTGACTTGATGGTGTAGAGAATCAAACCTCTGTTGTGCACCTGAACCACACACATATCTTCATTCTTTAACCACCAAACTAAACCCATGGGAGTGGGGTTTCTCGATCTTCAATTTTGAATGAATCTTAATGTGACACAGCTCTTTAAATGCCATTATAGTTGACATAATCAGATCCATAGAAGACTTACGTGCATAAGTGAAGCCATACAAATTACTACAGTAGCTACACTGCCGATAGTTATAAGTTTCGGGATTATATTTTTGTTCACCAAACTGCAGTGTTTAATGGATAACGCTGCATTTGTCTACACTATCTTGGTTCACGATTCTCCTATTACTAGTGCGGAAATTTTTCCTAGGTTTACCTATAAATGCCGAAATTTTGCTAATGCACTGTATGATAGCCACTTGGCAACTTTTCCATAATGTAAACCAATGCTATAGTCTTCAGAAATTTCTATAATTATATATGAAAAACATATCATGTATATTCTACTAATATAGCCTATACTGATTTTTCAGTGTATTTAGCTATAGTACGTGATGTACTTCAATCTTTTCAAGTTAAGATTTTGACAAGCCCATGGATGATGCACGGGTATGTAATTAATCTAGTTAACTAATGAAAGCGCTTTTATACATGGCAGCCAAGCATCGATTGTCAAATTAGTTGTTGAAAAGGTTTTGGGGGAGCTGAGGATAAAACAAAAATCAGTGCCTGAACATTTAATTGGACTTGATGATCAGGTAGAAGACTTAACAGAGTTATTAGATGTCAACCAACTTGATGTGCGGCTCATTGGAATTTACGGAATGGGTGGTATGGGTAAAACAACTATAGCCAAGGTCGTCTTTAATAAACTATGTTCCTACTTTGGAAAGTGTTGTAGTTTCCTAGAGGATGTTCGAGAAAGGTCGACCAAGGAGAGCATAGTCCAGTTGCAGAAAAAATTACTATCTGACATTGTTGGTTCCGGATCTGTAGAAAAAGTTGAGGACAGTGAACAAGGAATGAGGACCATTGGAGAAGCACTTTGCAATAAGAAGGTCCTTGTGGTTTTGGATGATGTTGATAATAAAGAGCACATTAAGAAACTAATAGGAAACTCCAATTTACATTTAGGATCGAGGATAATCATAACCACAAGAGACACATCTATTCTGAAAGTTGGGGGATTTAAAGGTGAAATTCAAGAGTATGAGATGATAAAGATGGATGATGCTCTTGCACTTCAGCTTTTTTGTTGGCATGCTTTTGGTAGAGACTTTCCTTTGGATGATTATCGTGGGCTTTCAAGTAAAATTGTCTCACTTATGGGAGGGCTTCCTTTGGCCATTGAAGTGGTAGGTTCATTACTTAAGGGGAAAGACGAAGATTTTTGGAAAGAGACGCTAGAAAGGTTAAGTGAAGAACCTGAGGAAAAGATTCTAGAGAAGTTGAAGATTAGCTTTGATGACCTAGAAGATGGTCAAAAACAAATTTTTCTCGATATAGCATGCTTCCTTTTCAATGAGAAGAAGACCGATGCAACTTACATGTGGGCCGATAGTAAATTTTATCCCAAAAGAGGAATTGAAGTCCTTACTAAGAGGTGCTTGATAAAGGTATTGGATAATGGTAGGTTCTGGATGCACAATCAACTAATAGACCTGGGAAGGCATATTGTCCGTCAAGAAAGTCCATTCAACCCTGGAAAGCGGAGTAGGTTGTGGGTTGCAGAAGAGGCCCTCGAAATCATAAGAACAAAAAAGGTATGTAAGAAACGTCCCTTTTCAAATGCAAGTTGCAAATGCTGAAATTAAGGATTCCTTTTTCGTTTAGGATCTTTATAATTTTTTTCTGCACATTCGCGTTGTAAAATACAGTGGTTGAAAGTTGACACACTTCTTCACATCATTGCGAAATTTCACTTGCAGTGGAAGGACAAGGTGCAAGCAATTAAGATTGACGGAGTGAATGAATCTATAGAGATTACAAATGAAGAGTTTGAAAGGTTACAAAACCTAAGACTCCTCAACTTAGGCAATGGAACTTATGCTGCGGACTTTGCAAAGTGTTGTTCGAAGTTGAGATGGATCTCTTGGCATTCTCCTAATTGGGATTTGATGGGAGACAATGTGTATTCGAATCATCTTGTTGTTTTTAAACTTCACGATACTGGCTTCATGGATAATGCAAAAGCATGGGACATGATCAAGGTAAACTACATCTTTTAATTCGATTATGATAGTCCCAGTGTATACTATGCAATGGTTCTTATACTTGACATGCCATTCATTTTTACAGAGGGCACGGAATTTAAAAGTTTTATCTCTTACTCAATGCGGTGGCATAACGAAAATCCCAAACTTCTCTAAAAGCTCTGGTTTAGAGAGGTTGACTCTTGAACACTGCGACAAGCTAAAGAGAATTGAAAGCTTCGTTGGAGATATAAAGTCCTTGATTGAATTAGAGATCGAATGGTGTGAGGGTCTTACAGATTTGCCGGAAGAAGTGGGGGCACTAGTGAAGCTTAAGCGCTTGTCATTGAGGGGATGTTCTAGGTTAAGAGAACTTCCATGCTCGCTTGGAAATTTAACCTCATTGATAGAGTTAGACTTATCAAAAACGGGCATTGCCAAACTTCCAAATTCCATGAAAGGACTATTGAAACTTGAGTCTTTTCTTTTGACAGACACGGCGATGATGGGATTTCCCAAATTCATTGAAAAGTTAAGATCATTACGCGTATTAGGTTTACCAAAAAATGGATCATATTCTCCGAGGCGTCATGTTTGGCAGCTACCTAGTGGTATCAACATGTCGGAAATTCTTGAAGAGCTAGATCTCTCTGGGCCAGATGAAATGACAGATGAAATCCCTGTTGGAATTGGAGATTTGTCTTCTTTTAAAATCCTAAATTTAAATAGCACCCAAATTTGCGAAATTCCAAGGAATATCGACATGCTTCATCACCTCCAAACACTAAACTTAAGAAATTGTCATGACATTCAGGGATCGTCGGAGCTTCCCACAAGGACAATCAACATACTTCATCAACATGCTGCATCACCTCCAGAGTTGGTTTCTTTGTCTCGCCTTGACCTAAAAACCCTCGTGCAGCTTCCGTGTTCTCTGCTGAGATTGGAATTACTATGCTCTAGCTTCAGGTGGGCAGAGTTACTTCCCTCCAGCTTGATATTGAGAAATTTGATGACTTTAGAGTTCTATTATGTTGAAGTGGAAGACATTCCACTCGATAGACTTCCGGGACTAGAGAGCTTAACTATTGACGGTTGTGAACTGCTTCAGCAATTAACCATTTCTTCGGAGAACCTAAGGCAAGCGCATGTGTCATCTTGTCCAGATCTAGTCGATATATCTATTTCTTTTTCGGAAAGTCTGGAGTCCTTCTTCGGTTTTGGGTGTGCATCTCTGGAAACAATGAATTGGTTAGATTGCATGAGAAACCTGGAGAAATTGGAAATCCAACAGTGCGCTGAACTTACTGATGTTTGTGGCCTAGAGCATCTGGTGGCTCTGAAATCCTTGAAGGTCAGAGCCTGCACGTCATTGAGAAGGTGCATCAATCCATCTTGCACAAATATACCAGATGATTGCCTGGTCGAAATACAGGGGTGTGGAGACTTTTTCAAAGATTCTACTCCGAGCGGTCCACCTGGAATGCCTTTGTTGCGTTACATATTGGAGATTCTTCTGGATACATCAAACAAGGTGCGGCATCTTCTTCATCAATATACAGTGCATGAATTGACATGTTCTAGTTTCAGTTTGATGCTATAATTTGGTAAAACAATATAAATTGCAAAAATTTTAGTACTATTGTGAAACTTACATGAACGGAAATATGTTTGTCCAATCCAACCACGAAAATTTATCAGAAAGATCTTTAAACAATATCAAATACATTAGTGTTCCTTTGACATGTTCTTTTTAATTTGAAATGTTGTTTTGTATGGACTAAATAAATACACACATAAAAGTACTATAAATTCTAATTTTTAAATTTAATTTTTGTTATATAATCGAGTGTTGGATATTATGTAATAATTGCCCTCTTAAACTTTGGCACTATTGTGCGATAACTCGCAAACTTTGAAAAATTATAAACTACCCCCACCCAAAAACAGTTTGATTTATGTTGCATCCATTAGTTTTTCAATCTATATAGCCGTTAAGTGTTACCTACAACACCTTACCAAAAAAAAAAAAAAGTGTTACCTACAACGGACTAACTCACTTTTCTTGATCGAGTTTTCTCAAGTAATTTTATTAACCACACATCATTATCTATTTTCTTAGCTTCATAAACCATGCAAAAGATGTTTTTCTGTTCAAAGCAAGTTAGTGCATTTTCGGTTGACATTTAACAGTCATACAAACGGAAAAAGTAACGATGTAACAAAAATGAAAGTTTGGAAAGTAATCTATAACTTTTCACAGTTTGCATGCTACTGTGAGTATTACCAAAATTTAGGAGGGTAATATGATATTTTCAAACTGCGAAGCTATTTCCGACCCCCCCAAAAAAAAAAGTGCGGAGCTATTGTGCATATAAGTACCTTGGACTTCCATCAAATATCTTCTGTGAAGCAATCCAAAGCCGTCAAAGAGCTAGACCTAGTTACTAAAATACTTTTTCAAAAAAAAAAAAAGAAGATTCTTAATGATCAGTAAAAATGCACGTGGAATACGCATTCTTGTATTTTGTTTGTATCTAAATAAAACAATACATATAATAAACATGAGTGGAATATGGAAGTGTAGTCTTGTGCTAGTAAAGCAAGGAATAAAAGCTAAAAGAAATTCTTATATATAAGAGGAAGATTTGCTTCCCTTTTTTGGCCAAATATGCTCTTCTCTTTTCTTTACCCACCCAAAATCCGCTCTTCTAAAGTTGCCAGTGGGGTTTTTGCACCCTAATTACTAAGGTGGCTGATTTATTTCCTTCGACTTCTGGTGTTAGATATTTGTGGCTCCTAAAGCAATCTTTGCCCCCTCTTCTGAGGTTCCCTTTTCTATTCTACTTAAACTACCTAGATTGCATATTTGTTCCCAAAGCCATCTTTCCCCCTCCCCAATCCGAAAAAACTTCTCCATTTCTTCCCTCTATATTCCCGCGTCAAGGAGAAAATCATTTTTGTTTATTTGTTATTGTGAAATTTTGTGGCACCACTGTCAACTGTTCTAAAAACTTAAGTTATTAGATGAAAGTATGGTTTAATATTTAATTACTCTAATAATTATTTTAAATGAAAAGAAACTCAGATCCATCAACTTCCTTCCTCAAAACAAAAGGACCCCGACCGGCGTAAGCAAACCCAGGCTCGCGTTTACTGATCAATAAAATTATCAAATCTTAATCCCTCAAAAAGTAAAGTAGCCCTTCGGCGACCACCTTCGTTCTTCACCGCCTTCACACTGCCCACGCACGCTTCTCCCAAACCATATAAAACTTCACGGTTCGAATGGCTGGTCCAATTCCAACCCGCCCGAAGCGTTTCCACATTCCCCGTTCAGACATATTCCATAGAACGTCTTCCCTCCGATTAATGTAGCTCACTCCATTTTCGTTTATCAATGAGGAGGTTCAGGACGAGCTCTCATGCGTCTCCCATTTCCCCAACATGGCGAATCAAGCCCCGGTGGACGAAGATGGCTCGTTTGGCGTCACTGGCAACGTGAATAACCCATTAAAGCGTCGAAGGAAGGATGAGGAAGACAAAGAAGGAGACGGAGGAGGTGGAGGAGGAGAGCGAGCCTCGTGGGGTGACGGCAATTGCGGCAGTGGTGGGTCGGTGGGAGAGAACTTGACATCGCTCGTTTTGCCCGACGAGGAAGAGAAGCACAAGGGGGAGAACTTCTTCATTGAGTCGCTGCAAGGCAAGGCCTCCCTGGAATCGAACTCCCATCAAGGGGTCCGAGCGAAGGGTGATTACTACTGCCACATTCAGGCGCTTTACGACGATGCAAACGAAATCGAGATGAGTAAGAACAAGCGCGTCAGTCAGTCAGGCGCCACTACGACGGTAGCAGCCGCAGCAGCGGAGGGTGAATCCCATGCGCTGTTGCCGAGTGTGGGCCAGCAGGGGCGTCTGTGGGTGAAGGACCGTCCGAAGGAATTGTGGGAGCGGTGCAACAGCCCGGAGTTCCCGGAGAAGGAGTTTTGGCGCAACTTCCGGATGAGCAAGGCCACGTTTGACTTTATCTGCAACGAGCTCGACGCAGCTGTCACAGAGAACTCGATGCTGCGGGAAGCGATCCCAGTGCGACAGCGTGTGGCAGTGTGTGTGTGGCGGCTCGCAACAGGGGAGCCGCTCCACCTCGTGTCGAACAAGTTCGGCCTCGGCATGTCGACCTGCCACAAGCTCATCCGTGAGGTCTGCTCCGCAATTCGCAAAGTCCTCATGCCTAAGTTCCTTCAGTGGCCTGATGAGCACCGGCTTGCAGCAATCAAGGATGAGTTCGAGGCAGCATCAGGCATTCCGCTCGTGTGTGGGGCAATGTACACGACCCATGTGCCGATCATTGCCCCGAAGATCAGCGTCGCCTCGTACCTGAATCGGCAGCACACGGAGAGGAACAAGAAGACGACGTACTCGATCACGGTTCAGGGCGTGGTCGACCCGCGGGGCGTGTTCTTGGATGTGTGCATCGGGTGGCCTGGGTCGATGACCGACGACCAGGTCCTCGAGAAGTCGGCCCTGTACCAAAGGGCCGGCAGGGGGCTATTGAAGGACGTGTGGGTCGTCGGGAACCCTGGTCACCCTCTAATGGACTGGGTCCTCGTGCCCTACACGCACCAGAACATCACGTGGACGCAGCACGGGTTCAACCAGAAGCTCGCGGAGGTCCAGGGCGTGGCACGGGAGGCCTTTGCACGGCTCAAGGGGCGGTGGGCATGCCTGCAGAAGCCGACGGAGGTGAAGCTGCAGGACCTGCCTGTCGTGCTCGGGGCGTGCTGCGTGTTGCACAACATTTGCGAGGCGAGGAACGAGGCGATGGACTCGGCACTGAGATTTGAGATCTTCGATGATGAGATGGTGCCCAAGAACCCGATCCGGTCAGCCAACGCCGCGCACGCGCGGGATCAGATTGCTTACAATTTGTAGGATTGGAGTGTGGCTAATTAAGTAGTTTGTTCTTTGCTCCATAGATATTTGATTCTGATTGATGATCTTTATTATTATTTTGGATGTGTGGCATGGATTTAATTCAGGCTTGGTACTTCGATAGTTTCTAACATACGGAATTCATTGATGGATACACGTTTCTGGATGGTAAGAGGAAAATGGTACTTCGATAGTTTTTAATAGTTGACTCAATCCATTGCTAGCTGTTCCAATTCACACCAGAATCAAATATTATCTCTAGCTCGCACCAAAATCGGAGCACAATCAGAATGTCCTCATGATTAGCAATCTGAGATTGATAACGTTATCTTCAGCTCGCACTAGAATCAGAGCACAATCAGAATATTTGCATGATAAGCAATTCAAGATTGATTCAAATGTTATCTTTACCGGTGATTACCAATTATGATGTTAATATTTATTTATTGAGTTTCTTTCTAAGTGTATATATTGTAATACACAATTCAAAAATAAAAATACGTAATTCTTATATCTTTTATATTCTTTGTTTTCTTTGTGCATTTCCATTTCTATCTTGGTATTAGATAAGAAAAAGGCAAAAGCCCTCGATCCAAATATGAGTTACTCAAATTCCTCCTCTCTCGAACAAACTACCAGTCAACAACACTAGCCTTCCGCTACAACTACCACCACACCCACTACTCTTGTCGCAGCTATTTCCGATCTTCTCTCTTCTCCATCCTTCGGAAAATGCCTAGATGGAATAAATTATGTGATTTCAGGCACACGGATCTTTCAATATTTTCAAGCTCTTGAACTAATTTTTGTAGTAGACAGCACCGAAACAGCACCACCTATCCACCTTTCTCAGCCAGACCCACAAAATCTTGGCCAATCCAAACTCCCTCCCAATTCCGCCTACAAAGCCTGGCGCATTCAGGATCAAACAGCCCTTGGCTAGATCCTAAATATAGTGACAAGTCCCATAGTAGCACAACTCACCGTCCATAAAACTTCTGCATTAATTTGGTCCTACCTGACCGATGCATACGCTTCATCGAATTAAAAACATTCGTTCCAACACCTCCCTGCAAGATAAGGATGAACAAAGACTACTCCCCTTATACCTCCCAATCCACAAGAACATTAAACACTTGATGTTAGGGACGTACCTTGTCTCCTTGCTACAAAGCAAAAAATATTTTTGCAAAAAGAGAAAATCCAACCTAAGTCCACTAAGAATTTTCAAAGTCCTCAATGGAGTCGCCAAGCTGTCACGACCTCCCCGAAGATGAACCACTTAGGGGTTGGCTAATGGATTATTAAGTTAACACCTAGTTCGGGCTCTTCCAAGCCTATACCAATTTGCAAATAAGATTAAAGTTAATTTGGCATGCCCAATCAATTCATTTAGGAGTTGCCACTAATCTATTTTTTGTGAGCCAATTAGAAACCCAAGTAAAGTATCGGGAGATTTACTTTATTTTTACAAATCAGAGATTATGGATTCGGAAACTTAATTACGCAAAATTACTGTAATTTTCTTTCGGTACCATTTTCTTTTATTTTGGAAAAAAATTGTTGTAGGCAACTATGATTGATTTTAAGTTTATCTATAAACATATGAGGTGATCATGCGGGTGCGCAACCATTAATGTAACACCCAAGAAAGCAAAGCAATAAATAAATATCTAGAACAAGGAGGAATTTACTTACCTCGAAGCAAAGCAATTCGCAACTATTAGTGTCGTGACCGATCTCCAGGTTTCAAAGGTCTCGCTTGATATGCGTTAAGTCTAGGTCTATGACTTAACTCGGGCTCTCCCCAGCCCATACCATATCACGAATCGTGATTTAGGTTTTTAACCTGTAAGTGATTTTTATCTAGAAATCGCCACTAATCAATTTGGGATGGGCCGATTAGAAACCCAAGTAAGGTGATGGGAGAATCACCCTACTTCTACAAACCAGATATTAAATGAGTCTGGGGACTTGGTTACACTAGTTAAGTGACTAGTGCCCTTTCGGTACCTTTCATTCTGTTCATTTCAGAAAAATATATATCAAGCAGTTTGGATTGATTTTAGGACCTATCTCCTAACATGTGATGTGATCAAGCGAGTGCATAATCATTAACGATTAGCAGTCAAGATAGATATGCAGCCTAAGGTTTTAATCCTAACTAAGGCGATGACATTCAAAACATGACATTTTATGCAATTTATTCTAATTAGAAATAACATGTATAATAATAATACAACTGTAGTAAAGATAACATGCAAAATCCCCTATAGGCTTATCTGATTTAAATATGATTATTAATCAAATAATTCACACAATTTAGGAAAATATTCAAAAATACTAATTTCTAGACTATTGCCTAATTTCAAAAGAAATTTTAAAAAATTATTTTAAAAAGTGAAATAGATATTGCCTAATATCTATTCCATTTATACTCCCCAGATCCTAGTTTCACTTATGGTATCAGAGCCAATGGGTAGATAAAGATATTCTTTATAATTTCATTCGCAGTAAAGACGATTTCCTTCATGGAGGTCTTTTTGCGTGATTTCTAGATGTGTTCCAAGCAGTAAAGCCCACTGGGGTAGTAAGTTCGTTGGCAAGTATCGTCGAAATCTATTGAAAAGAAGAAAGTAGTCTTTTGCAATGAACTTATTAAGAAGATCTGAATCTTCTTCTAATTCTTTATCACAAATGTTCTCAGATCAAGGACCAATAAATAGAGAAGAAATTAATATAGAAGATTTCAATAAATCTATTGAAAACTGGTTCATTCGAAAAGTGAAACTGGATAAGATTTATGAGCATTCGAAGTTTAGACTCTTTAGAAACAATGACTATGTCATTGTTACTGAAAAAAGAGATGTACCACTTTCCAACTCTTTTGCTTCAATACAACTTTTAAATAAAGATTCTATAAAGAAACATTCCCAGAAATGGAATTACATGCATATAAGATTGGTACAGGTTGGTGCAAAACCCCTTACCAAAGAAGGATTAGATACTTCCTTACTTCTTGTTTTGAGAGATGCAAGATTTTTAAAATACGATGAATCCATTCTTGGAGCCGTAGAAACAAGTCTTTGTAGTAGGCCAATTCATTTTGATAGTCATCCTGGTCTTACTGTTTCTCTCAAAGACAAAAATATTTTAAAATCCCTCACTCTTCAAATAAAGACCCATAATTATTCGATAGCTGAAGGTTCTATTCCCATAGCCCTCATCTACAGAGTTTATTACAAAGTAATGAATTCTGCTTTCGGTAGCAAAGCTTTTAAATTGAATTCCAATAGAGAAACCCTTCCGTTACAAACAGATATTTCTAAAGCAAATGTCACCGTTCCTAGGACCATTCCTTGGAATCAAATAACCCTTCCTGATCAATAGGAATTAGAAAATCGAATTCCCCAACAAATCGTTCAAAATTCTGATCCTACCAATATTATTCAACATCCTGAAGGTAGAGTAACTATTCAATTTTTCAGAAGATCTGTCGACGTTCCTAGAAGGTCTTGTGACATTAGATCAATTCCATCTTGGCATTCCACTTCTTCTCGAAGGTTAGTAGATACTATTCCGAATATCCCTGTGAATAATCCTGAGGAAGCATCTGCAAGTGCTCCCCCACTTCCAAACATCAGTGGTATAGATAACAGGTCCGGAATATCCAGACCAGTTTATCAGCATAATCCTGATTTTCCTGATTCAACTCCTTCCGAAATGGAAGACCATGAAATCAATGTTTTAGAATTAGTTTTTGAACCTGACAGGATCACTTCGAATAAAGAGTTTAATTCTTTTAAAAACAATCAAATCAGAGAATGGTTCTTTAATAATTTTCAAAGACAAGCACTCGAAATCAAAAAGGAATACTATGATTACATGTACCAACATGAAATCGAGATATTCTTCTTTGATTGGTTTGAAAATATATTTTTACAAGAAAAACAAATTCTTGTTTTAGATCAATTTTATAAATGGAAATTAGACGATGGCCATGTCATTGAGTCTAATCATCCTCCTCTTAGAAAAATCAAAATTGAACATCGAGAAATTGAAATAATAGCTTCTCCTTTCAAAACTGCTTCTGAAATAGAGGGCATAGGAATCAAAAAGATTGTTGAACAAAATAATTTTTCTAACCAACATCTTCACACCATAGGAAAACAACTTGAAAGGATTGAAAATCTTACTCAAAATAGTTTTTCATCCTCTTCCATATCAATTCCAAAAAAAGGATTTAAAACCACCACTCTTTAGGAATTTTGAATTTCCAAAAAATCCTAGTCTCGAATTTGCTAAAGCCTTAGAGGATAGAAGAAAACTCCTCAAAGGAAAAACAGTTTTAATTCCTAGAAACCCTATAATGTTAGATACTCCTTAATACAAAACCTGAGTGTCAAAGACACCCCTGATCGTATTGAACCTTCCAATCAAATTAATCTTTTAGATAAATCTGATATTGATTCCATTCCTGAAATAAATCGTATTACTTGGAAAGATCCCCAGAAATTGTATTATTCTCGTGCCACTCCTCCTGATATCCTCACAGAAGAAACTTTTTCTAAGGTCCAAAATAAATATTCTTTTGATGCTATCTATGAGTGGAATATAGATGGTGTTTCTGAACAAAACCTCATAAATATTTTAACTCAGATGGTTATACTTGCTAACACTTATAAAACCATGCTTGATACTTCTGACCATTCAGTTGCATATCTTTTAATAGCCGGATTCACTGGTCAATTCAAAGGATGGTGGGATAACTACTTAAATGAAGAGAAAAGTTCTCAAATTCTAAATGCCTATAAACTCGACCATTTTGGTCAAAATATTCTTAATGAAGATGACCAGCCTATCTAAGATGCTGTCAATACTTTAATATTCTCTATTTCTCAACATTTTCTAAGAGATTCTTCTCATATTCTCGACAAAAACCAAGATCTTTAATCCAATATGAAATGTAGATCTTTAGGAGAATTCCGAGAATATAAAGAAATATTTTTACAAAGAGTTTTTCAAAGATCAGACTGTAACCGGTCTTTTTGGAAAGAAAAATTTCTTGCTGGTTTACCAAAACTCATAGGAGAACAAGTTCGCAATAAGATAAGAGAAGAATATGGAAACCAAATTCCATATGACCATCTTTCTTATGGTGAATTAACCTTTTATGTGTATAAAATAGGAACACAATTGTGCACTAATATTCGTCTCCAAAAACAAATCAAGAAAGAACAAAAACTTTCTAGAAAAGGATTAGGAGAATTTTGTGCCCAATATGATCCATCTTTTGAATCTTTTGAAAAACCAAAGTGTTTAGGAAAATGCTCCTCTAAAAAGAAAGAGCATAAGAAATTCTATAAGAAACCTTATAAAAAGAAATTTGATAAAAAACTTTCTAAAACAAAAGAAAATGATAGTTCTGAAAAAACCAAGAAACCAAAAAGA